CCACGTAGAATTAAGGCAGTTCTGAAGGCGAAAGGGGGTCAAACACCGTATTAGTATGGTGTTCCTAATAATCCTTTAGGTGAGTGTATATCAGTGATTATTATTTCAATTTTTACTTAAAATTCCATTAGAATTACCCTTAGACAGATTCCAAACATGAAAAGGATGAAAAATAGATAAAATTCTTGTCCCATTTTTAATCCATACTTTCTTCAGATTGAAAGTGGAAACCATAATTACCAGTGTTTATGACTAAGCACTTGCAGTCTGTATGTTCTGCTATATATGGAAAATGCTTCAGGGGTGAAATAAGTACTAAGAAATAACCACGGCAGTCTGTTGTGTGTCTGACTAAATGACCAAAGTACCAGTGTCTCCTTCCCTTGTTTACCACCATATCTCCTTTGTAAAAAGATGTAACTACTGATCTGTCACTTTCTTCACCAACACTTGAAGCTTCCTCAGAGGCAGTGCTTATCTGCTCCATGATATTACCAAAACAGTAGCAATAGCTAACTCAATCAACTATGTTGGGCGTAGATCATCTGTTTTTAAAGCATTACCATATGATTGGTCACAGCCTGATGAAGCCAACAGGACCACACAATCTGCAAAAAGCAAAGATGCAATCCTGAAGTCACTGAACTGGACACGTAATAAGCACAATCTTTGCAAACGGAACAAAGTTTGCAAATAGAATATTATGTCGTAATAAATACAAATAATTTAACGCATAGTGTATGTTCCATTACTGTAATAAGTCCAGTGCCATGTTACAATTGTCACGATCCCCGTACAAACGCGGGCTAATGAGCCATTTCCCGTGTCTCTACCCGCTCTGTCTCCCGTCATACTAGGACAGGTCCCCCCCGCGTACGGGTTCCGGCACCCGCGCGACCGTACCCAGGACCATGATGTTTGTTTGTTGGATCCCTCAATATACCCCAGCATTCAGCATCTGGGTCATCGAGCGTTTCTCGTTACAGTGAGTGTTATGGCTGGTGTGTACGTCTTCTGCAATTCTCTGGCTTTAATCCTCTACCTTTCCATACAGGGTCTGTATTACAGGGCATGCAGTATCTTTCTGCTGTCTGTGGCCTTGGATGGTCTCCACGCCCCCTAGGATTCTATAACAGCAGTATTCAAACTTTTCATGATGGGGGTCTCCCTAGGGCTGATATATTTGTCCTGACCCTCCCCCCGCCCCATGCACACACAGACACAGACACAACACGGTTTTCGATGTTCCTTTGCCACCACATTTTCTTTTGTTTTGGGGGTGCCGTGGGTCTCCAGTTGAAGCCCAGCCTTGGCATGATTGCAGGTCCTTCAGCAAAACCCGCAGCCCCCACCTACCTGGATTCTGAATCACCCCACCTACTAGGGATGCAACGGTACTCGGTAAAATACCGGACCGTTCGGTACGCGCTGCACGGTCAGGTACGCCCTTATGTACCGCGGTATTTCGTTTTCGCACTTCCTTTTGAAAATGGCGATTAATGCTTATCAGGCTCCAGTTAAACGGTAAGCGCCAATGAGCGAAAGCCCTCCACCGTGAGTTAATGTCCAATCACTGTTGTGGCTCCACCCACTCGCTCTCTCACACTGACGTAACTGGAGCTGAGCTCGCAGCTCGGTATGCAGACGCAGAAAAAAAGAAAAACAAACAAGCATGGTCGGCACTAGCGGAACAGTTGAAAGGCATAAGTTTGAAGAAGCACCGGCTTCATACAAATGTCCAGTATGGATTTTTTTCGGGTTCGCTGTAGAATACAACGACCAGGGAGTCAAAACAGTTAATATAAATGCCACTGTTTGTAAACATTGCCTAACACGTGTCCCATACGCTAATCATGGAAACACGAGCAATATGGCTAAGCATCTCAAGCGTAGTCATGCTGATATAACGGTTCCTGAACGGAAAATAACCCGTGCAGTGGGAACGTTCATTGCTAAAGATTTGCAACCCTTTTCTGTTGTCGAAGATGCGGGGTTTTGCCACTTAATTAAAACGCTTGACCCACGTTATGTTGTGCCCTGCCGTACACATTTCAGCGACGTTATAATTCCCGAGCTCTATGACAAAGCGAGCAAAGCCATCGAAAACGATTTGGCTCAAGCACAGAGCCTCTAGTGGAATATAGAGTGTTTAGAGCACTTTAAGAGGCACTTTAACATTTTTAAAAGTGTTTTTGTTTACATTTTGTAAGTTTGAATTTTATACATATATAGATATTTTATACATAAATAAGAGGCAGTTTATTATTAGTTTTCTTGTGTTATTTGTAGTGTTGTATTTAAACCGAACCGAAACCGTGGCCCAAATACCGAGGTACATACCGTACCGTGGGATACCTGTACCGTTGCACCCCTAACACCTACCTGGGGTTTGAATCACCCCACCTACCTGGGTGAAACAACAGTCAGTTACAGTTACTGTACTAGACATAATCGTCCGATGTATTCAATGCGTAGTTCCTGTCTGTTTTACACATTTAAATTATTCTTTATTAGTGTCAACTAGTGAACAGGCATATGATGTGTTAACATTATTTTTTAAATATTTCTGAATATTGCAATTTTGCAGTAGATATGCCCCCCCTTCAAACCCCCCCCCCCCCCCCCAACTCACACACAGTGTTCAGTTTTTTTCCTCTCCTGCAGCCTCCCTGCAATTCCTTTGCGCCCCTCAGTTAAAATACCTCTGATTTAGAAGATGGATGATTTTTAAAAATGTTTGTCACTTTTTACAACTTTGCAGTGTTTGACTGTGTTTCTCTATTTCGCCAACTAGTGGCGATGAAAAATGCTTTTCGGGAGTCTGGCTGTGTCTTCTGCGTTACCGTGCATTACGACCCAATCCGAACAGACCGCACAGCAGTACGGGCAGCCTGACCTGCTCTAAGGATTATCTCCTTTCTTTCGTAAAGTGTCCTTAGCTTTACAGTGGACAACTCAGCACGTACTTCAGCTCACAGCTGGCGGGAGTGCAACTGTTTGTCACAAACCAGTGGACGCAAGACGCACATTTTGACCCGTAACACCAGTGCTTGAAGGGGGCCCGGTACTCACCGGTACCTTTTTGGTTTTCTCTTGAAAGTACAGGGAACGCTTCGTGCATATTGGCAATTGTCATAAATTCTCATAATCCACCGGTAATGAATAACACGGTGAGTACTGGCACCTGTTTTTTCACACTACAAACACAGCATAATACTGTACATTGTTTGCGGTATGTTGAATTTATATTAGCAGTACAGAATTTGCATGCAACTAGCGTGTGCTTCGGCTTATGTTCCCTGTGTTGCCGTAATACGCAGTTCTGGTACTAGAAAGAGTTGTTCTTGTACTGGAGGTAAACAGAATCTTAACAGCTCCGTGTGTTCTGTTTCCTCAGCTGCATTTGGTACTATGAGCATGTTGTGTAGAATACATGGTATACAGTCATGCTTATCTTCTTACAGTTTTACTGTCATTTTTATAATGTCGGTAGGCTATATGGAATATCTTGGAGAGTATTTACGTAACGGATCAAAATGTTTACAGCACGTAATTGCATGGAAATAAAATAAACGACCATAATTATATTTTATATTTGAAAATCTGAATCGTATTTATTAGCATTAGTGCCTAGTGATGGATGGTCCGATGTACTGTGACTTCGACAAGTTCTGTCTGTAGCTTTAAGACAAGGCGGGAGGCGCCTTTCGGGGGTAGCGCTCCGCCGGCATCTGACAGGTCGAATGGACGCTCCATCATAACCCATTCATAAATAAGCCGTCGGGCAGGCGTCGGGCAGCCGTGCTGCCGCTCACAGACAGATGTGCACGGTGACTGCGGAGGCATGGGAGGAAGATGAGAAGAGTGACTTTCGAGCAGCATCCTCTGTCTCTGATGACTTGATATCTACACCAGGAAGCTGAGATCACGCCGTTTGTTAACACACGAAACTGCGCGGATTCGCACTTTTCTCGGGTTGAGGGAAGGGTGGAAGAGGGTGGGAGAGAGATAGTGTTATCGTGTGTCATAGCAGTGGACTTTAAAAATAATCCGTATCTTCACGCAGTATGTCACAACATTTCCTCTGCTGCGATCTGTGCTGTCCAGCGGAACACGGGACTAAAGCGAAGGACTTCTGAATCATGGCAGCAAAAGAGGATCTTCAGAGCAAAGCGACTCCGCGGAGGCTCAGGCACAGCCGGCCGGGCACTGTTAAACAGGGACCTAATCTGGACGTGCTTCTCTCAATGGGTTTCCCCAAAACCAAGGCGTAAGTAACGGCGGCTGGAGGCTCATTTCGTTTACGTCCCCTGTTCCGGCTGGTCTGTAGCTTCTGCAGAGATGTGCATTCTGAAACGATGCTGCCTCGGCAGCTGGATATTGACATCTTTGATATTAAATTCAACAGTGTGAATTAAAGTGACTTTAGTTCGTTCGTCCGTCGTGCGCTATGATGCACATAGATTGAATGCAAAGGTTCAATAATATTAACTGACGGCTACAGCAATAATATCAGTAATAATGGTAGCAATTACTGCAATAGCAATAATGACTAGGATAATAATTCGAATGTTATTGTTAACATTTTACAGTGGCTTTCAAGAATTTTTCTTTGACGTAAATCAGTCCACTTTCTTTCGTCACGGACCAAACAAAAAGGGACCTTAATGCCGGCGTGAGCGCCCTGGGACCGTTTGCAGTGCTGGCCATGATCATCTTCATTTTCATTCTTTGTCTGCGCTTGTAACATTTTCATGTGCACGTAGTTATATCACGTGCAACGTAATCTTCGTATCCATCTTCATGTCCACCTCGTTGGCTTTTTGCTAGGCGCCGGGAATTCCTTCAGCAACCCGCCCTACCACCTTTGCTTGACGTTGTCGTATCCCTATATGTAAATGCGTCTTACCTTGCTGTTCATTTTCGGTCATAAATTATGCAAGCTGCACTTCTTAACAGAAATGGAAAAATTCACTCCAAAGTAGGGAGACTAAGCATTTGTAAAGCTATTTCCCCCAACCAATTAGATACTCTTGCGCAGAAATTATAAACTGTCAAATTGGTACGACAGAATGATCTTCAGTAGCGTACCCTTCGAACTTCACAAAATGTCAGCACATTCCTATGTTATAGTATTATAGCATATATTATGTTTATAAAATGATAAATCACGTGTTCCTCTTCCTCAGTTCAGTACTTATTTTTATACCCTTCTGCATTTTTGGAAGTAGGATTTCCTGAACAAATATTACGTACATTTACTTACTATTTTGGAGTAATTCTGGTAAGATTACATGTCTTTATTTTTTTTAAATGCTTTTCATGACTTGGTTGGTTTAATATTAACATAATATTGCACAGGTTTTCTATGTACATTACATTAAAATATTTGTTGCAACATGAGTAATTGCAGAAGGTGTCTCTTCCCCCCAAAAAGTTCGAGGCTACGGCGTGCAGATTTAGAGCTTGTTGACCACAAACCATGGGAATGTGTCTCTTCCTGGTCTCTTCTTCATCAGCTCTCCATCTTAAATGAATTTTCTTTTCTTAGATGCCCCCCAAGTACATCTCCGCAGATCATAGTCCGTCCCTTGATTACGGCTCTGACACGGAACAGAGCAGCGATTCAGACCCCACTCCCTTCTCATCCCGGGGCCTTTCTCCCAGCTTTCCTCTGCGTGTGTCTCCTTGCAGTACGTGTGCGTCGAAGCTGGGGATTCTGGGATATGTTGACACTGAATGGGCTCCCTGTATTCCTTGCAGTCTTGGTCATTGTTGCAGCACGGTACAACTGCGGTGGCAGCTGGGGCCAGGGTATGGGTCAGCTTGGACCAAAGCATGCAAAGCTGAAAGCTTTTACTATGTATAGCAGATGTTATCTGTACAGATTTGCTCAGCAAAGCTGGTTTATATGCTGCATCTCATATGTAACATGTAACGAGACAAAACGTTGTATTTCTATCTGAACGTGTCTCTTGTTTAACAGTATTGATGTGGTGCAGCTCCCAACTGATTTCAGAGGGAAACGCTGTTTTGCTTGGGGGCCTTTTAATCATTAATATGACTGTGCTCCTGGGTGTCTGTGAGGATCTGGGTTTGAATACATGTGACTCGGAGAAAGAGGCCCTTGCAAAAAGTGGCTACAGTTACAGAAGGCCTTGCTGATACCCTCATGAGAAGAAAATCTGCATAGCACATATACGCTGATATTATATTAGTAGTACTGCTGTGTTTAACATGAGTGGAAGAATGAATCTTTATTTATGTTGTTGTTGCTGCTTGAAGGTGTTAACTAACTTATGTGCTGGTAAACACCCTCAGAGACAGAGATACATACACTTACCTAAACAAACATCGTAGTGTTCTCCTCCTGTGGCTCTTTATGTTTTGTCTGGTTGACAAATGGCTGAATAGGCCAAGACCAAGCTGTGGCTCCCAAGGTCGGGCTGTGGTTCCCACGGCCGAGCTGTGGCTCCCACGGCCGGGCTGTGGCTCCCAAGGTCGGGCTGTGGTTCCCAAGTCCGAGCTGTGGCTCCCAAGTCCGGGCCGTGACTCCCAAGGCCGGGCCGTGGTTCCCAAGGCCAAGCTGTGGCTCCCAAGGCCGGGCCGTGGCTCCCAAGGCCAAGCTGTGGCTCCCAAGGCCGGGCTGTGGCTCCCAAGGCCGAGCTGTGGCTCCCAAGGCCGAGCTGTGGCTCCAAAGGCCAGGCTGTGGCTCCCAAGGCCAAGCTGTGGCTCCCAAGGCTCCCAAGGTCGGCTATGTGTACTGAGGCAGAAATGCTCCACTTAGCCACGTCCCAAGTGCAGCTCTGTTCAGCCTCTGGTGAAATGTTATTCTCTGGGGGGCTCTTGCTTTTCTTTTGGGCCCGTAGCCGGATTTCTCAGCCCCTTGTGGTTTACTAAGCCAGTGTGTCAGCGAGCTTGTATGTTTCCTCTCGACGCTTTGGTGTATTTTTCTGCAGTAGCTGGCACTGGGGGGGAGGTTTACTGGCTCTAACTGAACAGGGGGGTCATGGGGTAGGATTGGGAAAGGCTGTCCACCCAGTGACCCAGTTTGTGGCTCTGTCAAAGCAGACGCCACCTCACTGCTACTCCTGACACTTCCTAACACGGATGCTGTTTTTCTCTGACTCCTCACTCTCAGCCGGATGGGGGGGGGGGGCGGTGCCTCTGCTTAGCCAGAATCAAGCTCCTAGTGTCTGAGGTCGCTTCTGTCCTTGGTGTGATCACCTGGCTTTTGTTTTGGAGCTGCCAAACGTTTGGTGATCTGTCCTCTGCCATGGTGGAAGAGGGACAGCTTCTGCCACAGACAGCTGCCCCAGCCGGCTGCTTCTCCTCTGTTGCACGAGCCTGACAGCTGCACCAGCACCAATAATATTTTTATCCTTGTGACTAAAAATGCCGTCACTGTATTCTGAATGTAGAATGCCACCTTTCTGCACGCTCTGTGTTATTATTAGCAACACAATGTGTCGGGCTAAGCTGAGTGTCTCTGTAGGTGCATTACATGTGCAGTCAAACCAAATATTCTGTGGATTTAAAGCTCTCATTGAACCGAAGCTTAATTTACAACTGACAGAGATGCTGTTTGTTTGGTCATCTTAGACTGCAAAGATCAAATCACGTACATAACAGTTGTCTAACCCTTGAACCGTGAGGTAGAGACACATGGGTAACGGTGACATGAAGACCTTAACCTTAACGCCGCTTAATCTTCTGTTCCAGTGTCACCATGCATCTCCAAGTTGCATTCCAGAGCAGAAATATGGATCCGCGGCAAAAATTCCAGCCGCTGTTGCCCTGGTTACCATGGCCGCTGAATAATTTCTTAAATGTATTTGTTGCATGGGTGTCAGCTGTTAAAAATAAACATAATAAAAATGTGTAAAGAATGAAAGCCACAGTCAATGTATAAAAGACCAAAAAATACAAAAGCAACTTCTAACTTCTAAAAGAGAATTTTGCCATTCTTTAGCTGAAGTTTTTCCAAGACCTAAAACAACCAAATATTCACTGGAGTTACTTAACTGAAATCTTTGTGACATCATCCTGACTGAGGACCTGCATCTTAATGGCAACATAATTAACCCTTCTGCTGATATCACCGATTTACAGCAAATCTTGTTGATTGAGATCCTGGCTTTCATTTTGAATGTTTCAGGTCTAAGTGAATTTCTTTAATAATTAGACCTGATTAAGTTGTGAAATGCCTATTTTTAGACCTACCAAAGATGGAAAGCATTAAGAACCTTTTAAAATAAAAATGCATCCTTGTTAAGAGAGTAAAACGTGTTCACACTTTCGTTGATTTGGGTCACTGACAAATTTAACCTAAATAATATTAATCGCTGCTCTAGTTATCTCCTTGTGTAGGGGCTTGAAATAATTTGCGTGATTTAATTAAAGAAATTAATGAATATTCCAGTGATGTGTTCCGCTAACAGCTCATTATCTGACCCCTTGTAACCCCTAGCGATCTGTTCCATCATCGCTGCGGCGTAAACTCCGTAGACCGTGCTCCACAGTAACACCACCTGCGTAGACCGTGCTCCACAGTAACACCACCTGCGTAGACCGTGCTCCACAGTAACACCACCTGCGTAGACCGTGCTCCACAGTAACACC